ATCTCCTTCTGCCCCTCCTGCAGGTGAGCACAACAGTGAGTGCTCAGCATCAGGACAGGGCACTGGGGATTTGAGAAACAGCAGGCAGCTCTGTAGATTGCCTTACCTTGCCTTCTGTTGCTGTGATAAACACCACGATCAAAAGCAACTTGGGGAGGAAAGGGTTTATTTAGTGTTAAGTTTATAATCCATCAGGAAGAACAGTCATAGCAGGAACTCAAAGTAAGAAACTGGAGGCAGGAACTGAAACAGGGGACCTGGAGGGGTGCTTCTTACTGGCTTGTTCCCCATGGTTTGCTCAGTTTGCTTTCTTACAAAACCTGGCATCATCTACCCAGGGGTGGCACTACCTTCGGTGTGCTGGGCCCTCCCCCATCAATCATTAATCCAGAAAATGGTTGCCTACCAACTAATCTCATGAATTTATTTTCTCAGTTAAGGCTCCCTCTTCCCAATTGACCTTAGATCCTTAGGTGTGTCAGACTAATAAAAAATACAAAATAAAACAGAACAAAAACCAACAACTATTCCACACAGGAACTGAAATAGAGACGCATGTCAGGGGAAAAAACTGGGGCAATGGATTGTTCTGGGGCAGTAAGAGGATGCAGAAAGAGTGTTTTTAAGGGACAGGGCTAGAAAAGCTTGGAATACCTTTCACTGTTCCGTTTTGTGGGCAGTGGAGAACTCAGAGGTTGGTGGGTTTCTTAGTCATTGGCGGTTGCTATAGAGGAGGGGTGTATATACATGCTGACTGCTACTTGTTTTTCAGTTCTGAAATTCAGGCAATGCCTTATAAGGAAGCATCACGTGAGCATCTTCTTGCATGTGACTATGTGATGGAGGGTATCAGGTAGCAGAACAGAACGTGGGAGAGGAACTTGTTTAGGCCTCTCTCTTCCCTTTCCTTATAAACCACTGATCTCATCTGGAGACTTCCAACCTCATGACCGCCTCCAAATCTAGTTATTTCCCAAATACCATCAACACAGCAATGGTGTGAAGGAGGGGTATGGAGGGAGTGGGAAGGTATGCAAAGCACCTTCAAGTCATAGCCATGGGTAAGAAAAAGAGCAGGTGTGTGGAAGCGATGTGTTTTTTCCTGCTTGTCCTGCACGCATGATCACAGAGCCATGCACAGGAACAGCCTCTGGAGCAATCTCTCTATCCTCTGTCAAGAGCCCTAGGTTGCTGCCTGCTTCCATGGAGCAGTCTTTCCCATCTTGTCGTCTTTTACCCAACCTCTTCTCCTTCCGCTAAATGCCAATTTACATGCAAACTCTGCCTGACCTCCTATCTGTTCAAAAACGTAAATATTTACTGAATTGCTATGGTAAGAGGGAAAGGCAGGCTCTCCCTGCCTCTGCCCTGCTGGGGGTCATCTGGGTCGGTAGGGAACAGTGTTCTCGGGAACTTGCATGCAGCTACTGTTTTCCTCCTGAAGCTGTTGTGCTTACCCAGAAGAGACACTGGTGGGGAGTGTTATCACCCACTGGTTTAGCAGCCCCCATAGCATATGTTTCTGGGAGGTGTCCCCGCTTCAATTGTAGCTGACATCTAGTTGAAGCCTTCTCAATTATGTCTTTTAAAACGGCGTTTCTGAAGTTAATAGTTAACACATCTCGAGCATTAATTGTGTGCCGGGGGCATGTATTGACACATTTCATCCCCAGGACAGCCGAAAGAGGCTTTGCTGGGAAGGAAACTGAAGCAGAGATAGGTTAAGTATCTTGCCTAAAGCCACCCAGCTGGTCAGTGCAGGGACACAGACTTTCGAGACAGGCTGACTCCTACATTTAAAAGGACACGTATAAGCAGTGCCTCTAATTTAGTTTTTATATTCAACTAGTTTAGTTGTTATATATTCGACCAAAGCAAACCCCCAAAAGCTTGTTAGGGTCACAGCAATGAAGTGAGGGCCAAACAGTTCTCTATTCGCCGATTTATGCAGTGAACCTCTGCAAGCCTCACGGATGCCAGGCCTGCCTTCAGGAGGAGATGTAGACTCAAAAGTGTAGCTAGTTTTCTGCATGTATAGGGAAGGAACAACATGCCCAGCGAGGTGGGGATGCACACTGCACAAGGACGTGAAAGTGGTTCTGGGGATGTAATGACATGGTCCCAATCTGTAAGTTCATTTTGGTCAAGAAGCTAGAATTGGTCCTATCAGCTAGGCAGGGATGCAAAGGGCACACGAGTAGATCGATGGCATGACCTGGACTTTGGAAATTCAACCAGCACAGCCGGCCCAGGAAGGCAAAACCATCCACCAAACCATGTGTCAGATTCACTTCTCTGGATCATAACCCTGGCTCTAGCAGAGCTGTGTGACCTTGGACAGGAGAATCACCCTTCTAGACTGAAATCTTCGGATAGTCCTATGACCTCCATAGCAGGACTGGCAAGGCAATCTGACATTGTCACTTATGACAGCAGGTAAATTAAGCACCCAGCAAATATTGGCTTCTACTACAAATACATTTGCTGCTGGTGGTGCTAATTTGGTATGAATATGAGGTGTGTTAGTGATGCTTGTTCATGATGGCTAACCCTTATCATGTGTGTGCTCACATCAGCAACACTTCTATCACTCTGGGGATGGAAAAGCCACAAGGGATCGTTGCTGCAGTTGCTATAAATCCTCACCCAAATTAAACTAGAATAGTGCTGTGGGTCAAAAGCCATTTTTGGGTCATAATATCAATTTAAAGAGTTATAATCAGCCTTTCTTTAAAAATTAAAGATTGGTGGGCTGGAGAAATGGTTCAGCAGTTAAAAACTATTAGATTAACATGGGCTCTATGGGCAAGCATTAGCAGTAACTTTTATAGATTTTTCTGCTCCCAGTAACATACTCCATAAATATACTCACTTGCCAATGTATAGATGGGATGCATGGCAAGATGGTTTTTAAACTAAGGATTACAGTCAAGGAATTGTAAAGACCTTGGGAGAGAAGGTGTAAATGATCTCAGGTCTTCCCTGTGGCCTTGATTCTCAGACCCTCAGAACATGATCTTGGCAGTGAGAACGGGGAGGCTGAGCATCCAGACAGTAGAATTCAAGGGTTGGAGAGATGGCAGAATAGACCCCTGGAATCCCCCGTGGGGATTCAATGCCATCTCCTGGCTTCTGCAGGCACAAGACATGTGTGTGGTACACATATATACATTTGGGGAAAACATCTATATACATAAAATAAAAATAAAAATAAATAAATGTTTTTTAAAAGTTAGCAGAATTCAGAGCCTAGATTTGGGCCTTAGTCATATAAATTGATTCTTGTGTGTCCTAGGTCAAACTGCTGCCCAATTATCAAAGACGTTTTGAGAATTAAGACCCCACTAAATCCATTCCATCTTAACTGCATCTAGGTACAACTTTGGGCTCTGAAGTAATACCAGCTTTGCTACTACTGACTCATGATACATGCCGTGGTAGGAAACTGACTGGTTCAGGATCCATGAGAACAGTCACACTGTATGCTCCATGGCTTCTATGAAACACCAATAAAATCACAAATGTTGATGCTTTGAACAGTACAGAAAAACATGTCAGGGGAAGCCTATATAGTAAACACTCAGGATCCATAATACATCCAAAGACATCGAGTGCTTACTCCAGACCATAGCCTTGCAAAGTGATTGTGGTGTCCAGCTTAAGGTACAGGGTTGAACTTAATGGGTCTTTAAGAAAGTGAACAGGATCTTGCACTGGAACAGAGCTCAGAGCTACCCTGGAAAGTGATTTTGAGGTCTTAGGAAGGAAGATCTGATGCAGATGCCAATGACCACAAGTAGACCTGCTAGTCTTCAAATCAAATCTGGTCTACCACTGGGTTTGGTTTGGTCTGCAACATATTTGAAATAAAAATAAAAGATTACATCTTTAAATTACATATTATATTTCAGAATCCAAATTCCAAGCTCATCTTAAAATTTCACAAAGAGCCCCGAACCCTCCCCTGCCAACTGCATCATGGGCAGACACTAAGTGCCACTCTTACTGGTGGAGTCTGACTAGGCACCAAGACCCCTGCGTGCCTTCCATTTATCATGGAGCTCTTGCTCTGCTATTTCTCCAACAAAACAGTGAAGAAGGAAGTGTTTTGTACACCCATGTTGTTGTGACAAATGGAACAGAACTCAGGAGGTTTTAGGCTTCAAGAGAGACAAGTTGTCTCATTGATTGTTTGAATGATATACACTGCTTTTCTGAACTGAACTTCTGGCCCATTCAGGGGTGGGGAGAGGTTGTGCCTGTGACCCAAAGCTAAAGGAAGACTCTAGAAGGAGAAATGAAGATGTCATTCAGTTAAAAGCTCCCAGGCCATCAGTCTAGAGCAAGTCTAGAAGCCACTGCCCTTCTGTAGCCAGAATGGCAAATCACTGAGAAAACAGATAACAACAGATACTGGCGAGGACATGGACAGGGGGAAACCTGATATACTCCTGGTGAGGATGTAAAGTCAGCCAGTACTTAAATCAATATGGAGATTGTTACTGGAGACAGTAATGATGTCTGCAGACCTACAGTGATCTCATGAGATAACTGAAGAAATACTTACTTCCCAGCCTGGCTATCGTCAGTCATTTCTCAGGTTCCCAAAGAACCCCTAAGTTCAGGGTTAGTCCCTCTCTCCACTGAGATATGGTGGAAATAACATGGATGCAGCTCCTGCTTCCAACCATCACTAGGTACCAGCAACCTCTGGTCTTTGTTGGTAGCCCCAGTGATCTCCAGCCCTAGAGAAGAGCATGGGGCAGCATCCCCACTTAGGCACAGTAACAGAAAGAGAAAGAATTGTTCATGAGAGGCACTGAGTGCCAGTACCCTATGCTGCTGACTGCAGATTAGTGATGGAGCCTGCCCACACCTCAGCAGCCTGGTTCTTGACTCACTTTGCTCCAAGGGTGTGTTGGGTCCAGGATAGCCCCTGACATTGCCTCTCCCAACCCACATCTGAGGCTCAGCATTTCATTGGTTCTTCCCCACTGCAGAACGCTCGGCCCTGAGTGCGGCAAGGGCCCAATTCGTGGATGTGGAAGAGCGTGGGCCAGAGGCCATGGACGTGAAGGAGAGGAAGCCCTACCGCTCGTTGACTCGGCGCCGCGATGCTGAGCGCCGCTACACCAGCTCCTCGGCAGACAGCGAGGAGGGCAAGGCCCCACAGAAGTCCTACAGCTCCAGTGAGACCCTGAAGGCCTATGACCAAGATGCCCGCCTAGCCTATGGCAGCCGCGTCAAGGACATGGTACCACAGGAGGCCGAGGAGTTCTGCCGCACAGGTGAGTGCCCACCGAAGTGTGAAATGAGCCCAAATGTATACAGGTGTGTGTCCGCGTGAAAAGGCAGGCGAGCTGGACAGGGAGGAGGTGACTCTAGAAAAATCCAAGTTCCTGCTGTGTTGGCCCCTGGATCTGCTGAGGGCCTGCTCTGGAGTTCATTGCTAGAACAGACACGTTCTGGCCCAGCTGCCTAGCTGGCGAAGTGGCTGGAGGCTGGGCTCCAGCACCGGCCTGGAGTCAAGCTCTTCTGCTAACCCTGGCCTTGTGTTAGATGGCCGTGAGCAGTCTCCCTATTGCAGTGACTGGTAAGGGAGGCCTCAGCGGGATGGCTCCTTTAAGCAATGATAACAGGGGTAAGCACTAAGTAAATGCTAGTGCTTAGTTTGGGGACTTCTTCATTCAACAAGCATATCTCAGCATCTTCCTCGTCTAGCTGAATGACCTTGAGAGAAAAGCGGCTGCCAAGATGGTGAGACCAGAACACTCAGTGATTTGGAAGACATCCTGGGGTCAGACTCTCCTTCCCTCACTTTTTCCATACAGTCCTCACCAAAGTCTAACCACCTTTTCCCAGAATACCTTTCAGCCAACCCCTTTTCTCCTTTTGCTCTGCCACTGCCCAGTCCTGGACCTTGTTGTATGTCCCGGAAGACTGACCTCAATGACCGGCCACTGCCAGAGCTGCCCATTCAGGCCATTCTCTTCCACATGCCGCAGGGAAGCTTGGGCATGACTCCATGTACTATTGACTCCTGATACTAGGAGACCTTCCTCAGTTTCCTCCTCATCTTCCTAGAATTTTCTGTCTCTTGCCTCTCCATCACATCGCCACACCCCACCTTCCGTGGGCTAGCCCATCTGAACTATTGCTGCATCTTGCAAGGATGATCACTTCCTACTGTGGTACCTCCAGGGTGCCTGTTGTTCTGCTTCGTGCCTCTGTGGGTCCTGGTAGGTGACCATCTTCCCTCACAATGGCAGCAGTTCCCTGAGACTCTGCCCTGTGCTTCCCCCCTTCACAGAGAGCATCAGCCATGCAGCAGGTTGTGTAATGTAGATACATTTTAGCAATGCTGTTTAATCCTCACAACAACCCCAAATTGAATCATGTATCCAAGATCAAACAAGTAAGGGGAGCATGCAGGCATAGGCGCATACCCCTTACACACACACACACACACACACACACACACACACACCCCTATGGCCTCATTTCCTTTCCCTCCCACAGGCCTGGATCCACATGAAAGCCGCTCCCCTAGCAAGGCTGCCTCTCAGGCTTGAAAAATGACGGCTCCACAGCTCTTCCCTGGCTCGTGATTAAGAGCTCAAGCTTTGGCATCAGACAGATCTGGATTTGAATTCTGGCTCTGAGGCTGTGACAGCCCTGGGCATCCTCACCTGTGCAGAGGGATAATGGCACCTAATGGTAGGGTGCTCGTGAGGATTAGCGAGGACTGTAAACAATATCCTTGCCACCGGAGGCTGGTGATGCTTTATAAATGCCACCTACTCCTCATTGTCACCTCCGAGCCTCCGTGAAGGGAAGAGACTAAACACCTCCAAGCTTCCCTCCAGCACTGCCCAGCCTATGCTTGACAGGACTCAGTGAGCCAGCGGCTCAGATGTGAGCCAGCAGCTCAGATGCAAGCCCAGCACATCAGGCTCAGGAAAGGAGCCTCCCTGGTCCTTGTGAAGAACAATACGCATCCTCAAGCGTGTGCATTGCCATTTGCTAACTTGCCGTCCAGGATCTTAAAAGACTGTTTGAAGGACCAAGGCCCAGGCTATCCCCCAACTGAAGGAAGCTCGCTCAGGTGACCACCAGCCCAAGGTTATAGTTAGATGCTGAGGGAGGTTAGGATGGCAATCCACATTCTGGGCTCCTCAAGAAAGAGGTCAAAGGTCACAAAACAGACCATGTGCTGAAATAAATCTCCCACCTCATGCAGGGCCCCGTTGGCTCACCAGGATCCCTGAACTCTAGGAGTTGGCCTTTACCCTGCTTTCCTCCTGTCTCAGGATGCCTCAGCTCACGGGTATTGATGCCAATTCTGTCCGCTTAAAAGGGAAGGGAGAGCAAGCCACGTGGAAATCAATGTGGCTCAGGCTGTTTATGGCAAATAAATTTGAGTTTTCACTTAGCATAGCAGTTATTCTTTATAACGTGAGTGGCCTCTCTTGAGAGGAGTAGCCCAGGCCCAGTAAAGCACAGACATGGGCTGGGTGGATACAGCACAGGCCTGGAGTGCATACAGCAGCCAGGACCTGGAGTGTGGCCGAGACCCACAAAGGGCATAGGGGGTCTGGGGCTCCAGTGCACACTTTGTTCTTTCTTAGAAGGAGAAAAAATAGGAGAGAAGAGTGGAGTATGGCACACAAGGGTGAGATTCAGAGTTTGCAACATCTGGTCTGGCCCACCCCACCCCTCACCCCCCAGCCAACCAGAACACTTGCCTGGCCACTGAGCGGAGCCCAGAGGTCCCTGAGGCACAGGGCCTGCTGACATGAAACTATTTGTCTGGCAGCTGGATCTAGGGGAGATAATGGAAAGGGGTGGGAGAGAAGTGGCTGGAATGGCCAGGGCAGAGCACGGGGGCAACTAGGGGTGCCGGGTACCGAGCACATTATTTACCCACGAGTATGGAAGGGTTTTACAACTCTAACCTCAAATCATGGCTGTGTCAGCCTCTGAACTCTTTCCCAGTCCAGGCTCCTCTGGCCTAGCCAGAAAAGAGCTCCTGGTCCCAGAGACATATGTAAGGCTCATCCAAGAAGTTTCTGCTCTGTTCTGGACTTGCTGGCAAGTCCTATCTGAGAGAGAAGACAGAAACTTCAACATAATTTAACAGACATATTAAACTGAGCGCCTTCACTATACTGGCTTCGGCTGGAGACGCAGAGATTTGGAAATAAACAAGACATACAGTCTCAGCCTGTGTAGAAGCCACCTTCAGCAGAAGTGGCAGACAACTCTCCCATCTAACGGTACTCCCAGAGGCAAGGCATCTCCAGAGGGAACTGGGAGAATAAGTTTTATGCACAAGTATAGGTAGAGAATAGGGAGCTTTCACAGAGGAAGGCGGTTTGAATCAGCTTGGATGCACAGCGCTTGGCTGGGGAAGGAGGGGCAGAAAGAGCCCTACAGTCGGAGGAAGTGGGTGGAGCCCTTACAGTTTAAAGTGCAGCAGTGAATCCAGGGTTAAGGAGCTTCTGGTTTGGAAAACTCACCCATCACCTTCACTGTAATTATCTTCTTTCTTCCCAGGCACCAACTTCACCCTGCGTGAGCTGGGTCTCGGGGAGATGACTCCCCCTCATGGGACCCTCTACCGGACAGACATTGGCCTCCCACACTGCGGCTATTCCATGGGGGCCAGCTCTGATGCAGACCTGGAAGCAGACACTGTGCTGTCCCCTGAACACCCAGTGCGCCTGTGGGGCCGGAGTACTCGGTCAGGGCGCAGCTCCTGCCTGTCCAGCCGGGCCAACTCCAACCTCACACTCACGGACACAGAGCATGAGAACACAGAGACTGGTGAGTGCCTCACCTGGCCTGTTGGTTATGGGGACTGCCAGACCGTGGTTTTAATTATAATATTGATTTCTTGCTCTATCACGGGGGCTCTGGGGAAGCCGATGAAAAATTGCTTTGCCCTCAGTGGGCAAAAGTCAGAGCCTTTTTTAAAGTCACATGAAATACCCACCCATCAGTGATATATCAGAGAGGGGTCACTGCACTTTCAGTCCAGACCAGGGCAGGGCTAACGTGCTGGGTGATTGCTCACAAGGTAAGGGAGCAAGGGCTGTGGGTGCTGGTAAGCCATCCCCTGTAGAGCTGGTTCCCTGTGGAGTCCACAGTGCCCAGCTCTGTTCTTAGACACTCTAGCATCCAGTTGCCCACCCCACCCCCCAGTCCTAGGCAATCTCCAGGGACCCTGCCCCGTTCTGCTGCCTTTTGTTGCTCAGAAGAAGGTCTACAGGCCAAGACTGTCATACGGGAGCAGCTTGACCTTTGGGGTGTGGGGAGCTTTCGTACAAAGGCTCCAGAGTTTCCGTTAGGAGGACTAAGTTTACATGATCCTATGTACAGAGTGTCCAGTAACCCAAAAGCTTGGAGTCAGGGAATCATAGTTTTCCCAAACTAGGTCTAGTTGAATAGACATTACTTGTGAACATTTCTAATTCCCAAATCTGAATTTTAGAAATGCTCTCTATTCCAACACAATGTTCAAAAGTTTTAGACTTCAGAGTTTCTGTTTTTAAGATTAAGGGTCTTCAACCTACAATAATATGTATTTCAAAATTACTAAAGATATAGGTTGCCAGTGTTCTCTCCTCCCTCAAAATGTAAGATGGCGGACTCATAGTCTGCTTGATTTGATCATTCCACAATGTGTGCATACATCTATCAAAACATCCCACCTGTAAATGTATGCAATCACTATTTGTCAATTTAAATCAGACTTAAGAAAGTAAAAATAAATTTTAAGGTGAAAAGAAGGCCTTGTTCCATCCACATCTCCATGTCATCATGAGGAGCTGGCTCCGCAGTGCCATCCTCCAAGGTTCAGGAGTGCTATAGTCTTAGAAAAGGACAACTAGTTCACACATGTTTTTATGTCAGAGGCATGGGAGCCTAGCTTCAGAATCTTCCTCTCCTTGTTGGCGGGGCCCCTAGGGACTCAGAATCTGCCTTGGTCCTGTGTGTGGCCCACCTGCTGGGGAATCAGCCAGCCTGCCACAGTGTGGTTTGCCCTGCCTGGCCAGCCCTGTGGAGGGCTACACTGTGGTCCAGCACTGGGGCCTGGAGAGACTGGCAGAGCCTAGAACAGCCCCACCTGGGGAGGCTTTTGTTTCTGAGGTGCTCGGCCAGGAATCTGGGCTTTTACTCCTATTACTGACATGGTGCAACATGGGATGTTGTCAAGAAACAGAACCAGAAGAGCCAGCCAGATGCCAGTGCCCCCCACTGGCTGCCAGCTCAAAGTGCAAGAACCTGGATTCCCAGCCAGCAGGATGAGGGCTAAGCCCCTTTAGTCTTTAACAAGACAGCTCCAGCTGAGCTGCACAAGATCAAAGCACAGATTAGCGATCAGGCAGCTGACCATGATAGTCAGAACCAGATAGAGGATTTCATCCCCCTAAAGAGCCAGCTGCAGAGAAATTCTAGATGTCTCTTCTGCCATCTGGGCCAGTGGAGCCATTCCTAGGAGTCAGGGAGAGGCAGGACCTGGGTACTAACTTGACAAAGTCACCCTCCCCCAACTCCAGGGAGGGTCCAGTGACCTCAGCCCCTGTGGGTCTTCCCTCCCACAGTGGATAACTTGTAGGCGTTCATCTCCCACCAAGGTCCCAGCTGAGGTATCAGCCCTGTCTCCCCCTTACCCATGGAACCTGTTTTAATGGAGGCTTAAGGAGGTCCAGTTGGGGGAAGAGGATGTCTATGTTCCATCACTGGTCTGGAGTGTGGCAACAGTTGAGATGCATCCTCTCTCTTGCCCTTACTTTCCTCATTTAGAGTTTAATGACGTTAGCATCTCTCATTTTCTGAGCTCTTAAGTTAGGAGAGGGAAAGTGTTTTGTGACAATGAGGAAACACTAGATTAAACAAGCTTAAAGCAGTTTCTTTTGTACAGGACTTCTCTGAGCCTTTAAAATATTAAAATACACGTTGATGGACAAATTGCCAGCGTTTGTAGATAGCCCACATCATAGTCTTTAACCACAGAACCCTTTATTCTCAGCTCATCTGGGACAGGGCAGTGTTCTGATAGTGGCCTTTCATACCAGCTGAGCGGAGTGATGTTCAGGACTGGTAGACATGGGATTCTGGCTGTCTAATGTTGGCATGATGAAGATGAAGGTGCATGGGCTGAAAGTCATCGGGATGCAGAGAGTTAATCACAGCTTGATTATCAGCGCCAGAGCGAACATAGCTGAGCCCTTCAGCCACGGGAGCTCATCTCCAACCCTTTGAAGTCAGTTTTATTACATCCATTGCACAGAAACCAGGAACTGTAGCCACAGAGGCCAACAAATCTGTCTGGCTCACGTGCTAGATGGAATTAGAACTCGGGCCTTTTTACCAATCTAAAAATCTTACCTCCATTAGCTTTAGTTGTTCTGCTGAGTTCTCTGTGTAGCAAAATGCTGGGATTGTGTGTGCTTTTGACGGCTTCTTGCTATGCTGATAAAGGATCATTTTCTGTAAAGTCATGACAGGGTAAGACACACACCGCCTCCGTTATTGTATATCCCGGAGAGCTGAATTAAGCCTCTGTTGGGGGGATAATGACATGCACGAACCAGCAGGCAGCGGGGCCAGGAGGTTGGTTGCTGCTTCCCCAGCATAGGCATGGCTCCCCCCACCCCGCTTCCCGTCTCCACTCGGACCACAGAGCTCTAAGGCAGCTGTACTCAGAAGAAATGGAAAGGCAAAGGAACGGGAGAGAAGTCCAACAAAGGATCCCTGACTTCTGCATCCCTTTCAGGCCTGGACTCCCAGAGCCGACAGCTTATAGCTTTTTTCCATACTCGGGAGCCCCGTCTCCATTGGGAAGTTGTGCTAATGGTTGTTTTATACTCTGGCCTGAATCATGATAGAGGTTGTCAGAATGGCTTGCTACTCTTCATTGATTAGGTCTGTATGACTCTTGCTCAGCTGATGGAACTGAGGCTCAGAGAGAGGAGGAGCACAGTGCTGTCTGCCTGGCTGAGCTGAGGACGGGTCCTGTCAAGAGAGTCTCCTCTTTCCAGGCTCTCCTCTTCTCCTTGCCCTTCCCATCCAACTTCCCACCACCCCATCCTCTGCTACTCCACCATCCACCCCTCTAGACCTGGCTCTCTCCATTTTTTTCTGAGGAGAGCGTGGATCTCATCAGAGGAGGAGGGATCAGTGTACCGGACATGTTAGTCATTCATCCCATCCCAATGACGTCATCGCTCAAGGAATAAAGGAAATCAGCACCTGCCAAGGGCCCCAGTGCACACATGTGATAGCCTCTAATCTTCAATGACACTGCAGTGACATCCCCATCTGGCAGATGGGAAAACAAACACTCCACAAACAAAAGCCAACTACCACAACAGTCGCTATCAGTGGCAAAGCTTTGTTTGGACTGCAGCTCTCTCTGGTCCCTAGCTTGCATTCATCTGAGTCATAAGAAGTTTGGGGTCTCTCATTTGAGACCACCAGCCATGTGCATCCAAGTTTTCAAAGGGACCTTCTGATAGATGTAAAGGGCAAAGCATGAGCCCCCCGCCCCCCCGTGACCTCCAGCCACATGAGCCCCCCCCCCATAGCCGTGACCTCCAGCCACAGAAACATGCACTCCACTTCCACACCTGGCCTTGCGTCAGTCAATAGTAATGGTCAACAGTATTGGCAGCAGTGGGAGCTTCCGATGAGGTCACAGGGCTGCTGCGTGCAACTGTCACCAGCAATAACTTTTATGGGGTCCATTAAAGCCAATTTCTGTCCCCGAAAGTTAATGTCAGCAGCTTTTATGTCATTGCTCAACATTTGAAATAAGCACAAAATTGACCGGGTGATACAAACACAAGCTTTCCTCCTCAAGACAGAGATAGCCTTCAGGTCCCCGCTCCTGGAGCAGGCAGCAAGCTGCAGACAGCAAGGCGGATCCAGCACGACAGACATCCAGTAGGCATCCAATAAGTGTTTTTCAGAAGGGAGAGGGTGTGACTGGGGCTCCATTCCCAGCGCGGAGGCAGGGTGGCAAAAATCTCTCTGTGGAGTCATGTGACATTTGTTTGAGCTTGCTGAGTTGTCTCTGGCATGGCAGGCATTATTCTAGGATGTAAAAGCAGCGCAGTAGTGGGGGAGGTGGGAAGTTAGCCCCCTGTGTTCTGTGTGACAGCAGAGGCATCCAACATTGGAGCCCCACCCCTCCCCCCAAGACCTGACCTCATAGTCCGTGGCACCAAGTCTCAGCTGTGAGACCTTGAACAAGTTGGTTCACCTCTCTGAACCACAGAGCCTCCCTTTTAAAAGCCACACACTGGTGGTTATTAGAGACGGGGAAGGGGATCCTAACTGGTCACTGGCTACAAAGTTCCAGTTTGGAGAATAAGACAGTTCTGGAAATAAATCAGAGTGATGGTCATCCAGCATTGTGAGCACACTAATACCACTGAACTATGCTCTTTTAAAGGCTGCAATATTATGTTTAATCATCATAGTTAAAAACTGTAAAATCTGGGGGCTGAGGAGATATCTCAGTCAGTAAAATGCTTCCTACATAAGCATGAGAGCCTGACTTCCATCATCAGAACCAAGATTTAAAAAGAATAAAAGACCAGGTGTAATGATAACCTTGTAATCCTGGTGCTGGGGTCATGGAAACAGATGGGTCCCCAGGTCTCACTGGCTAACCATTATAACCTAATTAGTAAGCTCCAGGCCAATGATAAACCCTATCTCAAAAGAAAAAATAGTAATGATTATGATAGACAGTGCCTGAGGAACTATACTCACAGTTGACCTCTGACCTCCACATGCACATGAATACCCATAGA